TATATATATATATATATATATATATATATATATATATATACATTTTGTTCCTACCTTTTTGTTTATTGCACTGCATCATAGTCCTTTTTCCCTCATAATTTGTCATAATTCATTTATATTTAGATACATTTTAAAAACTCATTTTAATTTAGATATTTTATGAAAGTCATTTTAATACTGCTGTGTATAAAATGCTTTTCTAACTGAAACACTTATTTTTCTGTAACCCAGTAACACAGCGAATGAGTTTTTCAGAACCAGTGGCTGTGTTAAGTAAACCGCAATGGACTCTTTACTGCAAAGTGAATTTCCTGCACTCAAGTAAGCATACAAAAAGAATGAAAAAAAAATGTGAATACAGATTTGAGAAGTCAGGTTTATTAACAGTTTATTTTGAACAGATTATTATTGTTGTTGTCTTTGTTGTTGTTTTTATTATTGTATATGAAGTCAAATTTGCACCATTACAGGCATCAGACATCAGACTCTGAAGTGCCCAGTGTGTCCATAAAGAATGACGCATCTAAGGAACTGTATGTTGAATTGAAAGATGACAGAGCTTCTAAAGACAGGTACATTTATGGACAATCTTTTTTGCCACTCACTTCCTCTTCTGAAAATGTCATCTCAAAATAATATAAAAACAGATATTAACACAAGTTTAGTGGAGAAACACATCCAATTAATCACAACTTATTGTTAGATGCAATCAATCACATTTAATATTCAAATTTGTAATTTAATTACTTTATGCTATTTTATTTTTTCAGAAATTTCATTATTTCACTTATATTTCATGATGAATGTGGAAATTATCTAAAACTGTACTAAGTTTACAATGCAAGGAATATACGTGATTGTTACTGTTTTTCTGAACATGGTATTTTTTGTTTTGTTTTGTTTGTTAACTGTTGTATATGAAGTATAATCTATTCCCTGTTGCAGGCAGAAGAGATCAGACTCACCAGAGCCCAGCTGCGTGTCCATGAGCAGTGACACGTCAAAGGATCTGCCATTTGTTGATTATAAATGTGACCGCAATTCTAAACACAGGTCAATTTAAAGATAGGACAATCATGTATCAATGATCAAAATTGCACGACATAACAATTGCAAATATTTATGTCAGAAAATCAAATGGCTGCTATAAGTACTGCACTTTTTTTCCAAAATGTTCTCTTTATATTTACTGTATGAAGGAAACGCTGAAATATGTGACCTGTTTCAGTTTAAGTCAGCTTAAACTTAAAAAAAATTAAAATATAGATTTGAGGCAGGCTGAGTCACAACAGAGAGTTTAATGAGTTTAATCAATTTATTCAGAGCACATTATTGTTGTTGTTGTTGTTGCTGCTGCTGTTGTTTTTACTCGTATAAATGAAGTCAATTGTGCACCTTTACAGGCATCAGACATCAGACTCTGAAGTGCCCAGCTGTGTGTCCGTAAAGAGTGACACATCAAAGAACCTGTATGTTGAATTCAAAGGTGACAGCACTTCTGAAGACAGGTACCTTTATGGGCAATCTTGTGTCACTATCACTTCCTATCTCTTATTAAAATATCATGTCAAAATAATATAAAAACATATTTAACACAAGTAATTATAACTGAATTGTTTAAAAAAATGGATAATTAATAATGTACTGTTGCAACTTATTGTGTTAGATGCAATTAATAGCACATTCAAATTTGTAATAATAAATACATTTAATGGTAATACGCTATGGATATTTATTTTTTTCAGAAATTAAATTATTTTGCTAATATTTTAATTTATTAAATCAAAGATTTGAATTGACGGTGTGACACGTGGAAATTATCTATTAAGCTTGCAAATTAAAGTAATATGTGTGATTGCTGCTTTTTGTTACTGTTATTCTCAACAGACTATTAAAGTTTTTTGTTTATTTACTGTTGTATATGAAGTATAATATTCCCAGTTACAGGCAGAAGAGATCAGAATCAGCAGTGCCCAGCTGTGTGTCCATGAGAAGTGACACAGCAAACCATCTGCCATCGTCTGTTAAATGTACCCGCAATTATAAACACAGGTAAATTTATAGATAGGACAAACATGTATCAATGATCAAAATTACACATGATGTAACAAATATTTGTCACATATAAAATAAAATGGCTGCTATAATTACTGCACTGTTTTCCAAAATGTTATTTATTGCATGATGGAGATATGTGCTTTGCTTCAGTTTAAGTCAACAGGAAAGATCAGATTCAGTACAGTTGTGTGTCTATGAATATTCAGATTCATTAAAAAAAAAAAAAAAACAGTGCACTTCAGCATTTCATTATTTCTTTACATAAATTATTTTACTATTTTATCCTTACAGCTTTTACATCAGTATGTATTTACTACAAATACTGTATAAATACATATTTGTTTAAACATAACAAACAATAATTGCTAGATAAAAGTGAAGCTCTTGGTTAATTACTAAAAACAACTATTTTAAATAACACTTTATGAAGTCTGATGTATATTGGTAATATTCTGAATATTTAGCAAATATGTCTATGCTTCCTCCATCTATTATTCTAGGTTAATAAGGCAGGAAAGAACGGACCTAAGCAGTGCTGTGTCCATAAATGAGTATGATTCCCAGGAATCTATATATACACAGTGCAGGTAAGACATTTAACACCGGTTTCTTGGAGACACATGAGGAATACTTACAATAATCAAATAAAGGTCATGTTTTATTTTTGGATAATACATCACAAGTCTTCAACATATATACAGGACATTTACATATTCGTGACATGTGATTGTTATTTAAATTTTACAGAATTCAACTCCAAATGAAACTGACGAAAAAATTTCAGTTTTTACATGAAGGAACCGAACAACAAGGAAGACCAACACTCCTAAATGAGATCTATACTGAGCTCTACATCACAGATGCTAAAGAGATCATTGAAGAATGTGAGATCAGACAGATTGAAACAGCAGCTATGAAAGCAGTGACAGAGGATAGACCAATCAACTGCAATGATATTTTCACACGGTTACCTGGACAAAACCAGCCCATTAGAACTGTGCTGACTAAAGGATTCGCTGGCATTGGAAAAACAGTCTCTGTTCAGAAGTTCATTCTGGACTGGGCCGAAAGGAAAGCAAATCTGGACATCCACTTCATATTTCCACTTCCTTTCAGAGAGCTCAATTTGATAAATGACAAAAAGCTCAGTCTTTTAGATCTTCTCCAAGTTTTTTTCCCTGAAACTAAGGAAATGGACATTTTCAGTGATAAATATAAAGTGTTGTTCATCTTTGATGGTCTAGACGAGTGCCGTTTTCCCTTAAATTTTCCCAGCAATGAGATTCTACAGAACGCAACCAAAGAGACATCAGTAGACGTGCTGCTGACAAACCTGATTGCGGGGAATCTGCTTCCCTCTGCTCTCATCTGGATCACCTCCAGACCAGCAGCAGCTGATCTCATTCCCTCCAAGTGTGTCCATCGAATGACAGAGGTACGAGGCTTCAATGACCCTCAGAAGGTGCAATACTTTAGAAAGAGAATCAGTGATCAGAGTCTGGCCGACAGAATCATCTCACACCTGAAGTCATCAAGGAGCCTCTACATCATGTGTCACATCCCAGTGTTCTGCTGGATCTCAGCCACTGTTCTAGAGAAGATGTTGAGTCAAGCAGAGAGTGGAGAGATTCCCAAGACTCTCACTCAAATGTACACACACTTCCTGATCATTCAGACCAACATCAAACATGAGAAGGACTATGAGAAGAACGTGACGGATGAAGACATGATCCTCAAACTGGGGAAAGTGGCTTTTCAGCAGCTTGTGAAAGGCAATGTGATCTTCTATGAGGAAGACCTGAGAGAGTGTGGCATTGATGTGACAGAAGCATCAGTGTACTCAGGATTGTGCACTCAGATCTTCAGAGAGGAGTTTGGGCTGCATTTGGGGAAAATCTACTGCTTTGTTCACCTCAGCATTCAGGAACATCTGGCTGCTATGTATGTGCATCACACCTTCACAACACAGAAAATTAATGTGTTACACTTCCTGATCATTCAGACCAACATAAAACATGAGAAGGACTACGAGAAGAACGTGACAGATGAAGACATGATCCTCAAACTGGCAAAATTGGCTTTTCAGCAGCTTGCGAAACACAATGCTATCTTCTATGAAGAAGATCTGAGAGAATGTGGCATTGATGTGACAGAAGCATCAGTGTACTCGGGGTTGTGCACTCAGATCTTCAGAGAGGAGTTTGGGCTGCATTTGGGGAAAATCTACTGCTTTGTTCACCTCAGCATTCAGGAACATCTGGCTGCTATGTATGTGCATCACACCTTCACAACACAGAAAATTAATGTGTTACACCAACTAACTGAACCATCTCAAGAAGCAACATATACACAGATTCCAATATTTGACCTGCATCAGAAAGCTGTTGATGAGACCTTACAAAATAAAAATAGCCACCTGGGCCTTTTTCTTCGCTTCCTTCTGGGCTTCTCACTTTATTCCAATCAGACTCTTTTAAAAGTTCTTCTGTCACAGACAGAAACCAGGTACCACAATTTAGAGAAAACAGTCAAATACATCAAGAAGAAGATAGAGGAACATCCCACTCCAGAGAAATTCATCAGTCTGTTCCACTGCCTTAATGATCTGGGTGACAGTTCACTAGTGGAACAAATTCAGCGTTATCTCAATCAAAGAGCTCTTACCACAGCCAAATTAACCCCTTTACAGTGGTCAGCTGTCGTGTTTGCTCTTCTGACTTCAGAGAACTTGGATGTGTTTGAATTGAAGGCATATGCCTGGAAAACCAACTGTGCACAAATGGTGCGAGTTCTTTGGCATCTTGTGCCTGTGGTTAAAGCATCCAGATCAGTTCGGTATGTCATAATGACAATGCATTTACGCAATTCCATTATACAAACTGTCTTACTTTTTATTTTATATCATTTGATTTATTTTGAAATAAAGCCTTCTGTCCATTTTGTTATTTTTCATAGACTTGCTCATTGTGAACTGACACCAAAGTGCTGCCGTCCTCTGGCCGAAGCTCTTGCCTCTGAGTCTTCATGTCTAATGGAAATGAATCTGAATGGAAATGTATTAAAGGATGCAGGAGTGAAGTTGCTCTCTGAAGGACTGGGAAGTTTTAATTGCAAACTACAGATAATGGGGTAACGGTTCTCATTATTATTATGCATAAGCCTACTATGTATTAAGTATAGTATATAGTATATATTAAGTGTATATATATATATATATATATATATATATATATATATAAGAAAGGATTTGTATTGTTGTCTCTGCAGGATGAATGGTTGTGGTGTCACAGATGAAGGTTGTGCTGCTCTGGCTTCAGCTCTCATATCAAACCCCTCACACCTGAGAGAACTGGATTTGTCATTTAATAAACTAGGAGGCAGAGGAGTACAGTGTCTGTCTGATGGACTAAAGAATGCTCTTTGTAAAGTAGAGAAACTGAAGTATGATCTCTTTGGTCGCTGTGTTAACAATACGTAAGTCTGCCCACAATACACCTATACATACAAATAATTGTGTCGTTGTGTCTGCAGGCTGAGGAAATGTGATGTAACAGATGAAGGTTGTGCTGCTCTGGATTCAGCTCTGGCATCAAACCCCTCACACCTGAGAGAACTGGATCTGTCTGGAAATAATGTAAGAGATTTGGGAGCGAAGTGGCTATTTGTCGCTTTACAGAATCCTAAATGTCAACTGAAAATTCTGAGGTATGAACTCATCTAGTCTGCTCAAGTGGTTACTGGTGAACTGATCTGTGTTTTATGAATAAAACAGGTGAAAGATCTGTCTTTGTTCTGTCTGTAGGCTGAAGGAGTGTGGTGTCACAGATGAAAGTTGTGCTGCTCTGGTTTCAGCTCTGAGATCAAACCCCTCACACCTGAAAGTGCTGGATCTGTCTGAGAATAAACTGGCAGACTCTGGAATTAAGCTTCTTTCTAAAGGACCGAAGTGTCCTGCTATTGGTCTTGAACAAATGTGGTAAGAACATTTTCCTGAGTTACACATTACCTGACCCCAAGTACACTGTATCCTAATAAGCTTTTCTGTGCAGGCTGACTGGTTGTGGTATCACTCACAAAGGTTGTGGTGCTCTGGCTTTGGCTCTGACATCAAACCTCTCACAGCTGAAAGAGCTGAATCTGTCTAACAATGCCATAGGAGACTCGGGGCTAAAGCTGTTGTCTGATGCACTGCAGAGTCCTCACTGTAAACTACAGACACTCGGGTAGAGTCACAGCATTTGAAATACTTTGCAAGTCAAACTCAAAAATCACAAATTTGTCCGAGTATGTCCTGAACTGTGGGAATGTGTTTTGTTCCTTCTGTAGGTTGAATGATTGTGGTATCACAGATGAAGGTTGTGATGCTCTGATTTCTGCTCTGACATTAAACCTCTCAAACTTGAGTAAGCTGCATCTGTTTGGGAATGAAATAGGGAAGTCAACAGAGGAGCGGCTCTTAGCTCTTAGGGAACACCCAGAGAATAAGCTGAAAAAAGTCAAGTGAGTTTTAACAGGATAGTTTTTCAAAAATCATTTACTTACCATAACCTAAACCTTTCCTATCCTGCATGCAAGTGCTATTTTAAAGAAAGTTGCCCTGTTTCATACAATTAAAGTGGATGATGATTCGCATTTTAAACTGCATTAAAAATTAAAAGTAGTCCATACATCCCATGGGCTTTATTGCAAGTCTTTCTAAGCCACACTTTATCTTAGTGTGAGGAACAGACATAAGTTAAGCAGTTATTAGTAGATCTGCTCTCTCATTATCTGTACACTCATTATTAATTATATATTGTAGAGCTGTAATTTATTTGTTACTTGTCTTTGCTTTTATTTCAGTCTATCCTCTTGCAGATCTGAATTTTACTCAGAGTATTGAGATGTCAGGAGCAACAATGATCCTGCTGCACAATTAAACATGAATTACTACTCATATTTGACACAGGCTGACACAAGATCCACCTCAACTGGAGGCCACACCACAACTTTTCAGCATTCATTCTTTTACTTTGAACAATCCATTATTGGGTGATTTTTTTTATATATATTCACTAGTAACACATTTTAAACATGAAATTTTGAAGTACAAAAAATGAAATAGTATTTTCCTGTATAAAACATACTCCAATAAGGCCTAATCTTTGACAATAATGTTTTACAATGATGTTTTAATTACAGCTTTGAAAAAAAAATGTGTACAGTGTGCTTATGTCATTAATAAATGTATATATTGAAGAGTACATATACTGTACATATATAAATATAGAGTACTAATGGTACAATAACTGTTGACCTTATCATAGCAAAACATGACAGGTGGATTTGTAGAGGTCTGTTAGTTAAAGAAAGAGAAATGGTACACTTGCCCTATCTGTCTGTCTGTCTTTCAATATATGTGTTTCAATGTCACAAGGGCAATGTTTTAAGCTGTTAATTAATTA